TGGGGCGGCGGCTGGAGCGCTGCCTGTCCCGGCTCCTGCTCTGGGCCAGCCTGGGGCTGCTGCTCGTCTTCCTGGGCATCCTGTGGGTGAAGATGGGCAAGCCCTCGGCGCCGCAGGAGGCGGAGGACAACAGTACGTCCCGGGCCGGCGCAGGGGAGGGCCCTGGGGGCGCGAGCGTCGCGGGGACGACCCCTGAGCGCCAGGCTGCACCCCAGCCTTGGGAGCTGCCTCTGACCCGCTCCTCTCCGGACCTTCAGCCTGCTGCTTCCGGCGGTGGGAAGACAGGGCCCGGCTCCTGCCCGCAGTAACCCGCCTTCACCTTCTCCTGTTCCCCCTTTCTGCCCTGCTGTCCCATGTCTCCCTTCCAGCCACGTGCTGGGAGCAGTCTGCATTTGTTGTCACTTTTGTCCCAACCTCTGGTTTTCTCCAGAGAAAGCCACACCCCCCTCTGACAGGCCCACCCCCGACCTTTTCGGATTTTTCTTCCCTTTTCATCTCTTGCTTACTCACATTAGTGCCCATTTGAAGGCACCCCAGGTTTCATAGGCCAAAGAGGGCCTCTGGGTGGCTCCCAGCTTTGCAGTGGCCAAAAAGCCACTCCACGTTTTTAGACCTTCGGGCCCTCCTGTGTCAAAGGGGATGCTACTAGCCCTGCCTGTGAGACAGGTGTGGGAGAGCCTTTGGAAGAGTTGAAACTGATGTCACCGGGAGGGGAGGCCGTCACCTACACCCTCATGGAGTGGGTAGGGGGGCGTCTGGGGTTCCAGAACGCTCCGCCTTCCTCTGTCCACACCGAAGTACATGCCAGTGCGCGTCTGGAGAACACAGTATGTCTCCGGAGTAGCTGAGGGTCTGTGTGTTTCCTAAAAGGGAGCTTGTCCTCTTCCTGAACTCTGGGCTCTGGTCTAACAGAAAACGACATAGAAGTCATCTCATGAACGGAAGTGTGAAGTGACACTAGTTCTCCGACTTCCAGTATCCTTTGCAAAGCATGAATGTGACTGATACCATTCCCAGCCTCAAGCCAAGGCACATCTTCCCATGCTTAGGACGAACAGCCAAAACACAGGAGAGAACTAAACGGAGTCTTGGCTGTTTTGGGTGTGCACCGTGGGCGTGGGGGTCACAGACCAGTGCAGACTCCCCAGTGACTCGCCACTGCAAGCCATTTATCAGCCGTGAAGAGCGCAGCCACCTGCTAGACAGACAGTAGACCTGAGTGTCAGCTCTGACTCATATCAGAGGGTATAACGTTCACATTCTGCTGCGACGCTTTCGAGACAGCAGTTCTGGGGCCATGCGGGGACTTGCCCCTGTTTAAGACATCATTGTTTATGACTGTCGCATATGTTGTCTCTCTTGACTCTCTGGGCCAAAGGAAAGGCCCATTTAATCCCATTTTTTTTCTTCTAAAAAAATTTTTTTTAAAGAATTATTTTATTTGGGACCGGCAGGTGGTGTGTTTAAGGCAGCTGGACTCCCACATGGCTGACCGTGGTTCAAGTCCCAGACCTGGTAAATAAGATAATGACAATGAATAAAAATAAAACAAGTCTTAAAAAAGAATTATTTAACTTTAGGAACAGAGAGGTTCAGGACTCAAACCATGGTTGGCCATGTGGGAGTCCAGCACCTTAACCACCAGTCTACCTGCTGGCACGTCATTTAACCCCATTTTATAGATGAGGGAGTGGTTGGGTTGCCCCAGAACCTGCAGCCATCATGATCCTTGGGAAGAGGCCCCGACTCTCGCAGTTCCTGACCCAGGATTGGGAAGCCCTCACCTTGCCTTGTCTATGTGTTTGTAAACTTAGGCGACGGCTTTCTGACCCGCAGCCTCGGTTGGTGTTACTTCACTTCCCCTCCCACTCCCATTTGAGAGTGGTCTCTCCCTGTATTCTTTTCCTCGACCCACACTTCTAATTTCCTCTGTGTTTCTTTTCTTGGTCTCAGTGAAATTATTGCCAGTGGACTGTGAGAGAAAAACAGATGAGGTGAGTGTGAGTTTCTTAGCTTTTATTATTCCTCCTGAGGACGTTCGCCTCCATCAGGAGGTAAACTTCCCCAGAAAAAGATCATAATAGGATCATTTCGGGGAGTGCTTCCTGTAATGTCCCTGAATCACATCATGTTCTGTGATGTTTGTGTCAGACTCAATTGTGGCAGAGAAGGAGTACTTGAAATACAGAGGATTGAGCTCCCAGATCCGCCCCTGGGCTCGGTACAGAAGCTCTCCCATCAATCGGAGCATGGAGGACTTTGATCTCCTGCCTGAGTCTATCCAGGGGGGGATGCAGGAGGTTGTTGTTGAAGGACCTCTCGAGCCTCCCTGGCACAGGGAGGAAGGGCTGACAGTTTCGAAGCATCGGAAGACCAGCTTCTCAATTCTGCATTCTCCTTTCTGGGGGTGCATCTGTTGATCTGAAAATACCGTTCCAATTTGCATCGTCCTAGGGAGTTGGAAATACATCGTAAGTGGAATTAGCCCTCTTAGTCTGTGTTTAGATTTATTTTATGAAGCCTAATGTCCCCTACAAATAATATCTGGGGAAGGCCACATCCGTTTATGAATCGTGAAGGCAGCGTTAGCGGGGACGTAGGCTGCTGCTGCTGCTGATAGTCAGGGAAGATCAAGGCAGTAAATTTTCAGGTCATAAATCCTGCCCGGAGTCTTGTGCTGCCAGAGGGCATGACTTAGAAGTCTAATTATTAGGCGCCCAACGCCAGCCCGCCGCCAGCCCGCCCCAGCCCTCGCATAACGGATAACGTGCCTGGCGGCCCGGGGGTGAGGAAGAAATGTCGCAGCGGTCGTCTGGACACCCTGCCCGGGCGCTTACCCACGTGGATGACGAAGCATCTCTTCGGTTCTGATGCGTCATATTTGGGGGTTTTTATTACACTCATTTATTGCATTCATCCACCAGGTAGCTTTGCTTGCAGATACAGATGCATAGTAAGTTTCATCTGCCGTCTATCATAAAAACAGCTGATGAGGAGAGGGAGTAGCCCAGGGACGTAGGCAGGCAGGCAGGGGGAGACTGGAGTGCTCAGGACTGAACAAGAATCACTTTTCTGTAAGATGTCTCTGGTGATGTAAGTTTCGTCTGTCTTCATCAGAGAAGGCTTCCCTGCCCTCTGTCTGTGGGTTTCACGTCTCTGAGTGCATCAGACCCACCAGGGAGGGGCACTTTTTCTTCCTGGCCCCCTCTGAACTGGACTTGTGAACTCCCTGCCCGGGTGAGGCCAGACACGCTCCAGGTCCTCGTTAAAGATGGCCTCAGTGGGCCGGTGGCCTTTAGACGCCAGATATTCCACATTCGGAAACACTCAGGCTGCTCCGAGACTCGGCCAGCAGGGGTAGGCCAGGTCTGCCTAGGCTGGATCTGAGAGTTCCTGGGTGGCCTTAGCCCTAACGGAGGGTGGGCACAGGAGCTGGCAGGTTGGGAGGGCTTCTTGGCCTGGGTGAGACTGGCTGAAAGTCTCATTCTTCAGCTGGCCTGGGCTCACCCAGAACCCAGATGGCCATTAGAATCTCAGGTTTGCATTCTTGCCCCTCCCAGCTATGGAAGACAGTCACGGACACTGGTGTTCTTTCTGCCTTTGTGCCGTCGAAACGTGGGGACAGGCTGCAAGTGGCAATGTTGTCGTACCGGGCTGTCTCGCTGTCTGGTACCTTCTCTGCTTTCTCTGGTAGGCAGTAGCAGTCTGTGCGGAGTGGCTCGTATGCGAGCTCACACCGAGTCCTCAGCACTCTCCTCAGGAGGGCCCAAGGTTCTACCTGCACGCAGGGGAGTGGCCTGGCGGGGCAGGGCAGCCTCACTGCCATTCTTCTCTCTCCTAGCAGAGCCCCTACTCCAAAGCTGGGCTGCTGCATCCTTCCCACACTGCACCACCTCTGCCCCAAGCCCTTCTGCAGATGCACTCCAGGGAGAGCCGTGGTGCAGAGGCGGCGGCCTGCAGGGCAGTATCCCCTAGTTACTGGGTCGCGTCAGCTCTGCCTCTGCTTCCAGTGTCCTTTCCGGTCATTTCACCTGACACTTAGCAGCCATCTCTCTTTGCAGACTTTGTTTCCCTGTTTTGAAAGTAGGAGTTGTCCTGGGACCAGCAGATGGTGTAATGGCTATGTCATTGGACTCCCATGTAGTCGACTGCCATTTGAGTCCCGGACCCAGTGGCTTATACTCACTCCAAGCGCGTGCGTGCATGCCCAGGATCCCGACAAGAGAATAGAGGAGAAGGGATTGCAGAGTGGCCATTCCCCCTGGGGGGTGATTTCTCGCTTTCTGTCTCTTGTCTGGCGAGCGCACGCGCCCTATAGCAAAAACCTCTCCAAAGACAAAAGAGAAGTATGAGTTATCCCGTGCAGCTTAGTTCTCAACAGTGTGGTAGGAGAGGTGGAGACAGTCGCACACACCCTGCCCCAGCCGCCCCTTGCTGACTGGCTGTCCTGTTCCTTTCAGTTCTGCCAGGCCAAGCAGAAGGCAGCTTTGCTGGAACTGCTGCACGAGCTCTACAACTTCCTGGCCGTCCAAGCCGGTGAGTAGGTCGTCAGTCTGGGGTTGCCCGTGGTCCGGGGGTGGCCACTGTCCTCATAGCCAGGTTGCGGCTGGCTGGCAGGCAGCGTGGCACACTCTGCTGGGGTCTCCTAGGAGGCAGATTACAAAGCTGAGTCTCGGCTTCCTGTCACCCCCTCTCTGGCACATGAAGCCTCAGGTTTGGGAAGACACATTTGGTTCTTGCTCCTCTTTTTTTGGAGAATTATTTAATCTTATTCATCATCATTAGTATTATTGTTTTAATTTGACCAAGAAAGAGGGAGGGAAAGTGAGAAAGCAAGCCGCCAGGCTTGGGGCTTGAACCAAGTGATCAACCATGTAGGAGTCCAGCCCCTCAAGGAGTCCAGTTCTCCTTGCTGGGATGCCCACCCCTAACTCTTTGGGGGTTTGCGTGAACGTTACAATGAGCCAGGCCCCTCATCTTCTTAGAGCCTGTGTCCTCCACCACTGAGCTAGGCCAGGGGAGAGGTTTGTCACCTGTGCACGGAGTGGGCGGTATGTGGGGTGGGCCCTGGGGTCACGGCAGAGCTGACATGCCTCTCTGGCTGTGGGACTGGATATGTCCCTAGTCTTCTCAAGGCCTCAGTCTCTCCCTCTGACCAAGTGACCTCTGGCCTGCCTTTTCTCTACAAAATGACCCAAGTGCTGGGCTCCAGAGGAGGGTACTCTCAGACTCCACAGGAACACCCCTGAAAACTCACCCAGGAGGGCTCCCTGATGTTGGGTCTGGTGAGCTGGTTCATGGAGGCCAAGATGTGTCCTCCCCCTGCCCCTGGCATCCAGGAGCCTCAGAATCACTTGCTGCTGGCGGGGCTGGGCCTCAGGGTTAAAGGCCCGGACCCAGGCACCAGGTGGAGCCGCTCGGTCTTACAGGAGGTGGCAGAGGTGCCTGTACTTGCAGAGTCAGGTATGCGAGCTCACACCGAGTCCTCAGCACTCTCCTCAGGAGGGCCCAAGGTTCTACCTGCACGCAGGGGAGTGGCCTGGCGGGGCAGGGCAGCCTCACTGCCATTCTTCTCTCTCCTAGCAGAGCCCCTACTCCAAAGCTGGGCTGCTGCATCCTTCCCACACTGCACCACCTCTGCCCCAAGCCCTTCTGCAGATGCACTCCAGGGAGAGCCGTGGTGCAGAGGCGGCGGCCTGCAGGGCAGTATCCCCTAGTTACTGGGTCGCGTCAGCTCTGCCTCTGCTTCCAGTGTCCTTTCCGGTCATTTCACCTGACACTTAGCAGCCATCTCTCTTTGCAGACTTTGTTTCCCTGTTTTGAAAGTAGGAGTTGTCCTGGGACCAGCAGATGGTGTAATGGCTATGTCATTGGACTCCCATGTAGTCGACTGCCATTTGAGTCCCGGACCCAGTGGCTTATACTCACTCCAAGCGCGTGCGTGCATGCCCAGGATCCCGACAAGAGAATAGAGGAGAAGGGAGAGTGGCCATTCCCCCTGGGGGGGGATTTCTCGCTTTCTGTCTCTTGTCTGGCGAGCGCACGCGCCCTATAGCAAAAACCTCTCCAAAGACAAAAGAGAAGTATGAGTTATCCCGTGCAGCTTAGTTCTCAACAGTGTGGTAGGAGAGGTGGAGACAGTCGCACACACCCTGCCCCAGCCGCCCCTTGCTGACTGGCTGTCCTGTTCCTTTCAGTTCTGCCAGGCCAAGCAGAAGGCAGCTTTGCTGGAACTGCTGCACGAGCTCTACAACTTCCTGGCCGTCCAAGCCGGTGAGTAGGTCGTCAGTCTGGGGTTGCCCTTGGGCCAGGGGTGGCCACTGTCCTCATAGCCAGGTTGCGGCTGGCTGGCAGGCAGCGTGGCACACTCTGCTGGGGTCTCCTAGGAGGCAGATTACAAAGCTGAGTCTCGGCTTCCTGTCACCCCCTCTCTGGCACATGAAGCCTCAGGTTTGGGAAGACACATTTGGTTCTTGCTCCTCTTTTTTTGGAGAATTATTTAATCTTATTCATCATCATTAGTATTATTGTTTTAATTTGACCAAGAAAGAGGGAGGGAAAGTGAGAAAGCAAGCCGCCAGGCTTGGGGCTTGAACCAAGTGATCAACCATGTAGGAGTCCAGCCCCTCAAGGAGTCCAGTTCTCCTTGCTGGGATGCCCACCCCTAACTCTTTGGGGGTTTGCGTGAACGTTACAATGAGCCAGGCCCCTCATCTTCTTAGAGCCTGTGTCCTCCACCACTGAGCTAGGCCAGGGGAGAGGTTTGTCACCTGTGCACGGAGTGGGCGGTATGTGGGGTGGGCCCTGGGGTCACGGCAGAGCTGACATGCCTCTCTGGCTGTGGGACTGGATATGTCCCTAGTCTTCTCAAGGCCTCAGTCTCTCCCTCTGACCAAGTGACCTCTGGCCTGCCTTTTCTCTACAAAATGACCCAAGTGCTGGGCTCCAGAGGAGGGTACTCTCAGACTCCACAGGAACACCCCTGAAAACTCACCCAGGAGGGCTCCCTGATGTTGGGTCTGGTGAGCTGGTTCATGGAGGCCAAGATGTGTCCTCCCCCTGCCCCTGGCATCCAGGAGCCTCAGAATCACTTGCTGCTGGCGGGGCTGGGCCTCAGGGTTAAAGGCCCGGACCCAGGCACCAGGTGGAGCCGCTCGGTCTTACAGGAGGTGGCAGAGGTGCCTGTACTTGCAGAGTCAGACGCAGGTCCTAGGTCTGTGGTTTTACCAGGAAGTCAAGGTCAGGTGGGCTTGTGCTGGGCCTCAGCCTTCAGGGCCAGTCACGTGGGGGTCAGTCCGCACCACCTCCCTCCTGATGCTGGGAGCACCTCGGCTGAGGGGGCAGCCGAGCTCTCGTAGCATCAGAGCCCTCCCCGGTACTGCTCTGTTTGTCCCAGGTGCCCAGGATGTAAACTGTGGCCTAGGGGCGTTCCAGACCTTTGAGTCTCGGCTCTGGTTCAAGGACCAGTAGCATCAGCTTCACCTGGGAGTTTATTGGAAATGCAAACCCCTGGCTCAGAATCTCGACAGTAATGAGATCCCTGGGAGACGTGAGTGCACCGTCAAGTTGGAAGTCCTGCTCCAAGCTGGCCTAGTGAGCGGTCTTGGGGAGAGATGTCCTGGCTTATGCCCGTCAGAGTCCTGGCACCTGTGCCGTCTGACAAGCCTGGAGCACCCAGGAGTTACTGAGACGGGCCTCGGGGGTGTGGCTCCCTCCCCGGCCACACCCCCACCCCTGCTGGGACCAGCTGGGCCGGGCACTGTGCCATCCTCACAGGCTGTGGGATGGCTCAGCCCAGGGTGCTCCTGGCACAGTAGAAGCCACAGGCCCCTACCTCTGACAACTGGGTGACACGATGTGTCTGGATGAGGACTGAGAATCCAAAGTTCTAGGAGACGTGCTGCCTTCTAGCTGGAGCAGTCAGGACAGTGTGACGGGGAGGTGGCACTCACGCCAGGCCCTGAGACCCAGGTGGGATTGGTCATGTGCATACGGGGAATGGGCAGCCAACTAGGCAGGAAGTGGCCACTTCTGGGAGGAGGAGGAAAGAAGGAATGGCGTATGGAGATATCTGTTGGGCCCACCGTGGACGGCCTTGAGAGCACCAGGCCACCAGGGCTGGACCCAGCAGGCAGTGAGGGCCAGGGAGGCTCTACATGGGGAGGGACGTGCCGAGAGCCAGCTGCCGGCACCACAACGGAGCAGCAGCTTGAGTGGCGGTGTCATTTAGGCCGAATCATCTTCATGCATGTGGATTGGAGAGAAGACAGGAGGACGCTAACCAGAACGCCATGGAGGCAGCCAGGCAGGGCTAGCAAGGGCAGTCCAGTCCAGGTGTGGGGGAAAACGCAAGAAGCCAACCTGGGGTCTGGAAGCCCAGAGGGACAAGAGCGACTTTGAAGTCGGAGGGATTTGGCTGTGCTAGGAGTGGTGGGGACAGGCTTCAGTTCATTCTGGAGATTTCACAGTGTCATCGTCGGCCACTGCCCTGCCCCAGCACGGAGACTGGCATGGGAAGCCCTCCAGGCTGTGGCAGGTCAGGGCCGTCGGGCCAGGTATGAGTGTTAAGGGTCTCCAGCCTGCCCGGCTCTGGACCGTCCCTGCTCGCAGGGAGGCAGCTCCTGGCAGGTGAACCACACACATGCTGGCGAGAGCCAAGTGTTGTGGCAGGCCACCACGTCTGCAGCGATTTGGCTAAACGAGCCCCGTGGGGGCTTCTCGAAGGAGGTGGCCCTGGGGTTGGGCATGGAAGGCTGCAGGGCTGAGGTGGAAGCCAGCCTCCCAGGGTGCCCGGGGGAGCTGCCCTCGGCACGCCATGCTGAGGCCCCCTCCCCAGCACAGAGACACCCTTCTCCGTGGGACCATTTTGGACCTCTCTCTCCAAGACCCCTCAAAAGAATGGGCCTGGCATTCCAGGTCACCTGCCTGTGCCGTGAGTCAGAGCCCCTGTGGTGGCCGTGGCGTCCCTGCCTTCTTTCCCGGGCGGTGTTTATTTATAGTGCCATTCCCGTACCTTTCGAGGCTATCTGTCTGGTCCTTTTAAGGATCAATTGCAAACGGACCTTGGTATTGGGCAGCTTTTTAGTCATTTAATGCAAATCGCCGCACTGCTTTGCAGGTCAGGTTTTAATGATCTGGAATCGATCCAAGCTAAGTGGCTTTTGATCTTGCTGCGGAGCGAAGATGCCCCGCAGAAGCCGGGGAGCCGCCGGGCCACATGCTCCTTATTAGAGCTGATGGCTTGATCCGTGCTGCAGTTTTTAGTCCGTTTCAGAAAGGATTCTTTTTTTTTTTTTTTTTACCTCTTCTTTGTGTTTGAATGTGTGTGGTTTTTTTTTTCTCCTAGGTAATTTCGAGTGTGGAAATCCAGAGAAGCTAAAAAGCAAATGCATCCCCGTGATGGAGGCCCAGGAATATATAGCAGTAAGTGGGCTCGCTGCTTATCCACCCCCGGGGGCCTGGTGCTTTCGTATTGATCTTTCAGCCCTGCATTTTCCCCCCTGTTTGTTTTGTGTTTGCTTCATGGCTTTCCAGCTTTCCTTTCCTTTAAACTTCGCGGTGTGTCAGGCGACCTCAGGTCAAGGCAGCCGTGGTGGCGACGTGCCCAGGGCAGGGCCTGCTGTGCGCAGACGCCTGGCTACCTGCCCCTCTGCGAGTTCGCCTTTCTCCCTTCTCAGCGTCCAGGGTACCCGTCTCTGCCCGATAACCCTCATCCAGACCGCTAGGGTCCACCGGAGCTTCTGATGGCCTCACAGTGGTGGAATTAGGGCACTCGGGAGCTGGCAGGGACCTTAAGGGTCACCTAGTTCGATTTTCATTCCACAGATGAGGAAACCGAGGCCTGGAGAGGGTCAGGGGCTTGCCAGAGGCCGCAGCTGGGGCCGGCTGCCAGGCCTCCACCCCCGACCACACTTTTTATTTTAACCCGAGGGGAGCCGCCAGCTCTCTGCCCTAACGCTTCAGTCCTTGAGAAGATTATGTTCTCCTGGCCGCCTTGGACGCGTTGTTTTCCCACGTGTGCTTCCGCATCGCCTCCTCCCTGGCTCTCTCAGCCCCAGATTTCCTTCCTGCCAGTTTGCTGTGCATTTAGCGGAACGCAGCTCTGGGGCATGCGGAGGACACGGAGCCGGCTTCCTTAATCCAGCCTCACAATAACGTTACCCCAGCTGCTCCGCCCAGACGCCCAGACGCACCGCTAATCTCCTCCTGCCCCCACAGAACGTGACCAGCAGCTCCTCCGCCAAGTTCGAGGCCGCGCTGACCTGGATACTGAGCAGTAACAAGGATGTGGGCATCTGGTGAGTGTGGGCGGGGCGTCACGAGGTGGCGGCACAGCCTGGGCGCCTGCAGCCACCGTCCTTGCCTGTCAGCTGACGCCCGTGTTCCAGCCGAGCTGTCTCAGGCCCGAAGCTGGAGGCCCCGTCTTAGCCGGGTCAGGTGGGCCAGGCTCAAGCCAGGCTGCAGAAGCAGCGATCTGTGGAAGCGTTGCAGGAAGGAGCCGTTTCCGGATGAGCTGCTACCCAGGTGTTGGAGCAGTCGCCTGGGGGTCCAGCCAAGTCCTGTTTCAAGTAACCCCATCCAGTGTCTTCACTCACCGACCCGCATGGCCTGCAGGAGAAGGCATTTTTCTGCACTCCTTCTCTTTGGGTGCTAGCTCTCATTTGTAGATGAAAAGATGCTGTATGCTGGTTTTACTCAGCATGGACGATGTGTACGGAAATACTGGGTGTTCTGGCGGGGCAGCCCTGCCTCGTGTCGGTCAGTGCAGCACGGTGAGCAGAGAGACTAAGCCCTGCGTGAGGCCGGCCAGCCCAGGGGAGGACGCAGCAATGCTGACGCCCCCGCCGGGAGGGGCGACACCTGACCCCTTCCCAGTTCTGTTTGTCAGGATGTCTGCTCAGGTTACAGCTCCTGCTATTAAAACGCACTCGAGGGTTTTGTTCTCTTTTCCTCTAATCCACCCAAATTACTAATTCCATCAGCAGTGCAGCCGGCAGAAGCCCCTCGGGCAGCTCAGCCTAACGCTTGATAACGGGATGCGTGGCACGATTAAAATTCCTTGGCTTAAAGAAATAAATAAATAAAGCTGCCCCGAGTGGCTGAGCGGTTTTCCCGTGTTGGCGAAGGTGGAAGAGAACACGGATTTTATCCTCACTGTGCTCCCCACAGCCGCTAACCCCAGAATGACGGCACTCGCCGTTTCTTGGGGAGTCAGATATCGGGCCTGATGCTTCCACTACCAACCATTCCATGCGCAGCTTCCAGAGCGTGGCATCGTTGCCCTGGCTCACCCAGCTGGAGTCAGGTGTCCCCGGTGTCCACGTCCTCGTAGGTCCTGAGGCCGGCTGACCAGGGACCGGAGTGGAGGCGCTGTGGCGGGTCTGGCCTC